TGTTTCTGTGCTTACTTTTCAAAATATTAAAGATAATCACTTTTTGGCAACCCTGCTAAATCGCTTCAGAAAACCCTTATTGTGGTGATTTCTAAAAATAAAACATCGTCTTTTTTACAAATTCATACGTTCAGAAAATGACAAACGGACTATATACATTTAACTTATGTGAAAGAACATTTAGTATTTATTATACGTTTCTTTCTCTGATTATTACTTGACATTGAAGAATACGGGAGTTATTTTGTACTGCATTTTTCGAAAACCACCCATTCCCCACCACTATCCCGCTGTTTTTTTTTATTGCCCAACCTACAATGATTCATTGCGTTTACAACTAAATACCATCTTCTATTATTTGGCAAAACAATTTATCTAGTTTTGTTACATCATTGTAAACGAGCAGAGACAAGTTTGGTGTTTGTAGTTCAAGTACACAAATGAAATTGAGTGACAATATTGGAACAAGATTCAAGAATAAGCTGAAGTGAATATGGCTTTAAATAGAGTTAATAAATTATGATAAAGCTGCTGGAATAATTGATGGTTTACCCTCAAATATTATTAAAACATCAAATCACTCATTCCTGATATTAGTTCATGGTATGATTTCCGAATAATATATATATATATATACTATAGCGCAGCAACATTTGAACCAATATTTATGAAGGTGTATATATATGTCTTGATTCTTTAAAAATACCATTTGCTGAAAAAGTTCCGGCTTTCGGGTCGAAAAATGTCTTTCAACACAAGGGGTCAAAAAACTTAAATATTTTGATTCGAACTTTTATACATTTTATAAGACACAGACCATTATTCTAAGCATACGAGCAAAAAATTGATTATCATAATGTAAACATATACTATGATTTTACTGTAGATGTCGGTGTTTGATAAATGTAATTACGCAAGTGTATTTTTCACATTTTGTTTGAATTTTCAAATATGAGCCAAGCCGATTCAACAGAATTGTGTGGAATTTTTAGGTAATTTATGATTGGGAACATATCAGTTTTCCTACCAGTTGATACATTTTATTACCAGAATTTTTCCATATAATTGCAAAGAGTTTAACTACAAATTATTGTTCATGTTTTATAAAACATAATACAATAACAAATAATTATATATCTAATTAAATGTTACAGAGGTGTTGGAATGTTCATATATTCCAAGGGCATGTGTAATAATCAATTAGAGACATATGCAATCGAACGCCTTACAATTCTTCCGCGACATTACTTGTGGCTATCATCAAGTTTTCTGGTGGTTGTTTCTTCTTTGACCTTACCGCTGGATACAATCAGATTTTAGGAAGATAATGATAACGGTTTTTCTCAATTATTCATGAATTCGACCAAGTCTTGATGGTTGTTTTATAAGCAACTGAGCTATATCTAACTACGAGAAATATAATTTAGCTGTAGTACCAATTATTCAAGGAAGAGCAATATGCCCTCCTTTATTGATAATGTTCACCGCTGAATAAAAGTCCATATCTCAAAGCGTACTGAGACCCATTTTGTGAAAAACTAGCATAATTTAAGCATTTGTCATTCTAATATAAAAATGATTCATTTGTAACATTTATCTTATTAATACCTGAGAAACAATACAAAACGTCGATACACTGATTACATAATTTCTTGGTATTGATAAGAAAAACAACCTCATATTTACAGCTTAGAAACCTAAATCATTTATTTAAAATAATTTTGTATTATTTTCTGTTGCATTGTGTACTCCAAATCGGGAAAAATTGGGATTTCATTTTTCTCTGTTAATGGCAGGCATAATTCAGCCTGAAAGCTGGAAGTATATTAAACGGTTGTAATAAAAATTATTAGGGAACATATGTAGGTATGTTAATGTTAGTTCAAATATCGCTGCGCTATAGTGTGCTGCCAGCTCCTTTATTAAACGTCCTAAAGATTTCATACCATGGACTATATCACCATTCTTTTAATCATGTTTTTCTAAGTGTAGATTACCCAAATGAATGGGGAATAGGCATGTTATAAACTATTTCTAAGCAAGGTTGTATACTAGTACGTTTGATCCTGATAATTATAGAGTAATAAATGTTTAAGCTTGCACAGGCAATGTTGTCGACGCAATTACAAAGCACACTTTATTTATCTTACGCACTCATATATCTCACTATAAACGAGTAAAAGAAACGAATTAGGATTGACTTCAGAAAAGCGTTCGATTATGTTAATATATATGTTTAATGTGTAAACCATGCAAACTGGATATACGACCTAATTCAACTAGTTTCATATGGATATAAAATCGAAAACTTGTCTGAAACGCAAAGATTGTATCGCCCCTACTTTCGAGACATATGCCGACATAATGCAGGGCTAAGTAATTACTTATTCAACCACTTCCTTGACGATTTGTCACACTATTTAGCAAAAGAGTGTAAAATTTAAATTGATGGTCATAAGATAAATCTTTTACTTTGGACTGATGGTTTAATTTTATATTCAAATATTGAAGATTGAGCTGAAAGAATGTTAAATTGTCTATTTAAATTCTGTAAGAGGTATCACCTTATCGTTAACACTTTCAAGATAACAATTGTTTTTTCTCAAAATCCAATATGCGATTCACTTTTAATGACAACTTTCCTTGAAAGCGTTAAGCACTCTACATATTTGGGCCGAATATTTAACAATAGCATTAATTTCGATGTACACGTACAGTATGTTATCTACAAGAACAGGCGAGGAATGTCCAACGTCTATTTTATAGATTCATACCGCCACATACCGTCTTATAACAACTCTGATTTCGAAACATTTACGAAGAGATTACAAAGAAACGTTGTCTCAACTTCAGTATGCCTTGTCTTCAGTATGTGGACAATACTGATATATTTTCGGTACAATGGTGAAAGGGCAGGTCTGTACAAGATATATAATCAGACTTCAGTACAAATACCCAAGTGAACGATGGCTTGGTTAAACTTTCTGTTCAAATATGCAGATAAAAAGGCAAAGAAGAGAATGTGCGGATTAAATTTGTTATTAATAGTTAAATTAGTGAAGATTATTGTAAACATGAAAAAGTCGATAAAAATACAAAACATAATAAGAATATATGATTCTCTGCGTTTTGAGAAAATGGGCTTATTATAATGGTCATTATGGACGGGAAACTACATTTAATCAACGCAGTATTGGTATAAGTTGACTGCTTGAACTTTGTAAGTCTTAACCATGTAAACTCAATATCGAAGATAACATTTCAGTTCGTGTCTTCCCCACAGTCTTCGAAATAGACAAGTCCAGAAAGGTTATATTCAACTGATTTAACGACGAAATGAACACGGAGATTAATTGTATTTTGAAAAGCAATAACTTAACCAAAAATATACATTGCGGAGTGTTTGGTAGCGATGAGTTACATAGCTTAGTCCTACACAATGCTCCAAAGTGCGAAATATTAGTTAGTAATACAGACAAAACAGCTCAAGAGGGTCAACATTGGTGCCTCTTTATAGTACCCAGAGATAGCGAGATAGCAGAAGAAACGTGTATTTTGTAGATTCCTACGGCCACGCACCGTCTTATTACAACTCAGATTTCGAAACATTTGCAAAGAGCTTAAAAATGAAAATTATATCGACTTCAGTAAGACTTCAAAGTTGGGATTCATCAGTGTGTGGACAATACACCATATACTTTTCTGTTCAATGGTGCAAGGGCAGAAGTGTAGAAGATATATTACCAGACTTCTGTTCAAATACGCAATTGAACGATGGTTTGGTCAAACGTTATGTTTCTGATATGCAGATCAGAATCCAAAGATCACATTCTGATACTTTTCAAACTTGCACCTTTCAAAGAGACTATGTAGTGTAAAATATTTGTTTATAGTTATGCTAGATAAGATAGTTAAGCTAATCGTCAAGAATATTGTAAACATAATAATTCACGAAACAAAAACAAAATATATCAGAATATAGTTGTTTATGTATTAAAAACATATTATCGTTATGTCATTATTGAATGAAAATGTTAGTAGACTACTATGCTATTATGATTACAAGTTTTGATTTAATGTACATATCGAATGTACAGTTCGTAAGATTCAGCCACTATTTTGAGCTAAGAATACATGCAGGCACAGACAATATGATTTAAAACGTAAAACTTCACAGAACTTAGAATGTGGGGATGTGGCTACATTTCGACAAATGAAAGACATCATTTATTAGGGAGTTTTATTTTACAATTATTGTGTGGTATCAAGAGAATTTTGACGTGAAATAAGTCTACTAGTTTTTATTATAATGTTAGGTTCGGTAAAAACCAATTTTATCCGTTATAGCGATTAGGGTTAAGACTGGAGGAATATAGTAAGGGTATAACTGAAATTGCCTGAATATGCGAGGGAGGGGGTGTCGGCGAGATCAAAGAAAGCGGCTCCGACAGCCCGATTTCTATCTCCCGAACGGGAAGAGCTAGAGAGATGGGACCCGCGCCAAAGTGTTTAGGGGGGTTAGGTTAGGCCTAGAAGACTTCACCCCTAACTATACCCTGGGTAGGGGCGTGGTGGGGGAGGGAAATAGGGTCGATTTTCGGGGGCTAGGAAGCCTCTTATCGGGCCTTAGGGTTAGCGAAGGGTCGGTTTGTTGACTTAAAGGCTTAACTCGAGTGGATTAGTAGAGATAAGCCGAAAAGTCAATAACACTCGAGATATCTATACGGGTACCTATGTAGTGACATTTTGTATGTTAATGCCTCGTTAGAATATAATCATTTAAATTTCCTCATTTTGCAACAATATTGATAACGTACATGTACTACCACTCGTTACTAATCATTATCAATTTAAACAACATATGTTCATAATCATAATGTAGTATAGAAAGAATGAAAATCATACGTTCACATGTTGGTTGAGATGCAGTCCAATACCCATTATACTGACATCGTATCGAACTACTTCCTCTTCTTGTATATCCTGAATTACACATTGTCGTACACGCTGAATTGTATACGTAACCATTTGTGCAAGATGTACGGCCATTTCGGGTAGTTGATAGAATGCTACACGATACAGCTAAAATGTTTACATTTATAATGTATTTAACGTTATTCGTAAATATTGCTGTGTGGTTCTATCTAGATTTGATTGTCTTTGATTGTATCCCCTCGGTTAGTTTGGCTAGACTGACGTCAACATCATGGTCGAATGGTTGAATTTGATTTTTAACCTTATAACGATTTATGCATCGTATAGCTCGATATTACCAGTTCTCAGTTTTACTGTCTGAAAGTTTAGGTCATTGTATTGTTTTATTTCAAATAATCATTCAAAATAATATACTTTCCTCATTTTGCAATAATAGTGGTAACGTCTTACCACTCGTAACAAATCATTAGCAATTATAACAATCTGATTCTGCAATGTGATATGAAGAAAAAATGTGTTCATTATTTTCATAATGTATACATGTATATAAATGTAATTCATACGTTGACATGTTGCTCGGGATGCAGTCCATCGAGTACTTATCTGACATCGTATCGAATAACTTCCCACTCTTTTGTATCCTGAATTGCATATTGTCGTGCACACTGAATTGTAATGATAACCATTTGTGCAAGATGTACGGCCATTTTGAGTAGTTGATAGACTGCTACACGATACAACTAAAATGTTTACATACTACTAATTTATTTGGAAATTAAAATATGGTAGGAAATTGTTCTGTCGTTCTTCCTAGATTTCTTAAATGATCTCCCCTCCATTAGTTTCGCAAGACTGACGTCCACATAAAACAGCCCGTAAAAGCCGTGTTCAAATTATTTTCCTCCATAACGTACTATGTTGGAAATACGACAAAATTGCAAATTAATAAATTAGATTTCAATAAGTAGTACTCGTCGAATAGTTGCTGAATTTGATTTTTAATCTTATAAGGGGGTGTGCTGTGTATACTGGCAGTTCTTAGTTTTAATGTCTGAAACTTACCGCTCAACACTGTATCATTTTATGTCAAATATAATCATTCAAAATAATATAATTTCCACATTTTGCAACAATAGTGGTAACGTATAATAATGTCTTCATTATTTTCATAATGTATAAATAAAAGAATGAAAATCATACGTTCACATGTTGGTTGAGACGCAGTCCATCGCATGTTAGACAAGCATCGTATCGAACTACTTCCTACTCTTCTATATCCTAAACTACACGTTGTCGTACACGCTGAATTGTATACGTAACCATTTGTGCAAGATGTACGGCCATTTCGGGTAGTTGATAGACTGCTACACGATACAGCTGAAATGTTTACATAATGTACTTACAAATTAAAATATGGTTAGTTGATGCGAAACTATAAAATGTGTACATGTCGTATTTTTATGATAGAGTTTCATGAAAAATCATCCAAAATAATTCTGAAAAATTCGGAAAATTTTTTGAATTGATTATCTTATGATTATCTCGAAATTTCCTTGATTGTTACATTTTGTCATCTTCAAGCATTTCAAACAATCACTTACGTTGACATGCTGCTTGAGATGCTGTCCAGTAACCATTAGACTGACATCGTGATGAAGAACTGCCCACTCTTCTAAATCCTGAATAACACCTTGTCGTGCACACTGTATTGTAATAGTAGTAACGATTTGTGCAAGATATATAGCCATTTCGGGTACTTGATGGACCGCTACACGTCACAACTGAAATGTAAATAATCAAATAAACACGACGCTCAATGTGGACCTAAAAATTGTTTCCAACAAACATAACATAGGGGTCGATTTGACTAAAAGGCACATAAAATTAAATTATGAAAATTCATGAATTCTTTAAAAAAATTAATAGCTGTGTTTGGCAGTAATGCGCCATTTTGTGCCATATGCCATGTGTTAGAAATAATATAACATGCATCATTTGACTTTGATCTTTACGGGCATCCACAAATGTTAAATATTTATACTAATTAGCAACACAATCTTTTAAATTATAATATAAAACATTAGAGTGCCCCATTTTTGGCCCACCCTGTACATACCTTGACATCTTGCTTGAGATACAGTCCATCGTTTATTAGACTGGCATTTTGTTGAACTACTTCCTACTCTTCTATATCCTGAATTACACGTTGTTGTACAAACTGAATTGTGATTATAACCATTTGTGCAAGATGTACGGCCGTTCGAGACTGTAGACAGACTACTGCATTTTACAGCTAAAAGTTAAATAGCAACTTAGGATATGGATTGGATTTTAGTAATGGGGAGTTTGGTTTTAGAAAACATTATTCAACTTATATGGCATTCCTCTCCTTCTTGGAAGAAGCGAGGATATCTCTAGATAAAAGCTCAACTCGTTTAGAAATAGAAAAGACATTAGAATGGTTCAAATGAAATAAACTTTCTTTGAATATAGACAAGACAAATTATATGCTATTTACAAGATCAACGTTGAATATTGATGAAAACCAAGATTTTGATATAAAAATAGGGGGTAATATTCTTTAAAGAGTAATGCATACAAATTTTCTGGGAGTAACAATTGATTGTAAATTATATAAAATGGAATGAGCACATAAATGAGGTAATACATAAGATATCAAAAATTATTGGTATTCTGGGAAAGATTAAATATAAATTGAATATAAAAACTATGATTTCCATTTATAATTCACTCATATTATCACAATTGAACTATTGCAACATCATATGGGGTAATGCATGTAAAACATTTTTGAATAAATTGCTTTTGTTACAAAAACGTGCAGTGAGAATAATCACAAATTCTGACTTTTTAGCACATAGCCCACCTCTTTTTATGAGACAAGATTCCAAAATTGTCTTTACATGAAAAAATTTAGAACAATTATAGGTCAACACTCAATAAAATATTCAGGTGCTCAGCTTTGGAATAATTTGCCAACTTCTTTGAAAACATCAACGTCCATTAACTGTTTTAAAAAGAATTTTAAAATTCAAATGATTTCAAAATATGAACTTTATTGACAAACATATAAATGTACATTTTATTAATTGTAAACTATTTTATTCTCTTGTGACTGAGTAAATATTTTTAATTGTTCTTTTTCTCATTTCCATGTGACTCAGATTAATATGTTATGTTTTTCACACTGATACACTTATTAAAAGTGTCAAGTGTAATTATGTATTGATTTTAATTTAGAGAAAAAAAATTAAAAAAAACATTGCAAGCTTAAATAGTACTACGGCCAAGGCGATTTGTATCCAAAACACCTAGATTCAATTTGACTTTAGATTCTTGTAGGGGACCCCAAGGCATGTGAAAAAAAGTTTGTGAACCCTTGCAAAGCAGGCTCAAAAGTGCTGAGTCAGCAAATTTTATCATTTTCGAGTTGGAGTTTGACCATATGCTTGAAACTATTTAATATCTCATTTGAAGATGTTGCAATTATAATGAAACATTTTCAATATATCAATAAGGCATGTATGAAGAATTCCTGAAAGTTTGGGTCTTATCCAATAAAATTTGGTACAGATATGGGATAATTTGTCCCTAAAAGTACATAATTTCTCTGCAAAATGTCTTAATCAGTCGATTTTTAATCAGTCATTTAAAAAACAGTAAGAGCCTATGGTGTATAAAACCTGATTAAAAACTTAACTGATGGTGTTAGCAAATATTTCTTGCATAAGTTTTAATAAAAAGTGCATGCATCTATTTTTCTGATTTTTCTCTTTACCTTCCCCTAAAAATTCAAGAAAGGGGGCGTGGCACCTTACACTTCAGTTGTTGAACTTGTTGCTAGGGTCAAATAGAAAATGTGTATCATTATAGCAAAAAGTGTTATTCTAAATAAATCAAAACACTATATGTGACATCATAATATACTAAACATATTCATCATGTACCATTTTATATTTTTACAGCTTATCATTGCCATACCCCAGAAAACCGTTTAGGGTATGTGTGGTCAGCAATTGGAAATACTTGTATGTGTACTAATAACATTTTCAAAATTGTATTTCAGGTGCCATTCTTTCCTGTTGTTCATGTAGTTATGGTTCATGTTTATGAATGATAACACTTCCCATCATAAGTTTGGCAACTCGAACCCCTTTGAATTGTTACGTGGAATATGGCATATATTCATGGTTGCATGGTATTTGTAATACGTGTGAATATGCTATACTCACCTGCGGTATATGTCATATTCCACAGGTGAGTATGCGTTATTCCACAATGAATATGCGATACATCGATTTCAGTGCATACCCGATACTCACCTGCAGAATATGCCATACTCACTTTCGGAATATGCCATATACCGCAGGTGAAAACGTGATACGGAAAGCGTCGATTTGATTGGTTGTGAGAATCGACTCTAAATGTAAAACTACGCTGAAAATCAATAAAGTTAGTCCGTCGAGTTTTAATATATGAATCTTGGATTGATTGAGTACGTTTATTACGTGTGATACTTATGCATAAGTTGATATATTCAATACACTGTACTGTTGATTCAGTAATCATTATATAATAATTTATAAGTTTTACTTGTTCGTTCAATCGATGCAATTGACAATTGCGTACTTCTGTATCACATTCTCATTGGTTAGTGTGTATACCATATACCGCAGGTGAATCTGTCATACACAGCAAGTGAATATGCCATATTCGTTGCGGAATATGACATATATTGTTAACCGCGTAACATGAATCACTTATTAAAGCCTGTTTATTTTTTTGGCATATGGAATCGAAGTATCTGAAATATGGTAATAAGGAACATAATCAAGGTTTAAAAATTGACAGACTTTCATGTGCTATCATATAATAACTTCCAGGTGCCAAACTTATGAAGGGGGTGTACATGGTTTATTGTATAGGGTCCATGTAAACTGCAACGAGACTCCTATTGTTGCTGCAAATAATTAGCTATATAATAACAAATTGTTACAACAAATGATGTTTAGTTGTAGTTGGTAGAACAGATGATGTATGTTTTGTTTATGTCAAAATAATAGATCTTGTCCATAGGCGTAGCCAGGGATGGGATTGCACCCCCCCCCATAACCAATAAAAATATAACCATGAGATAGAAGAATAAAAGAATTTTAAAATGCTCTTTATTTAAAGCGTCTAGCCCTATTTTGAAGGAAGTTCAATCAAGATTTTTAAAATTCAAGATAGATCTTAATTTTTGGCTTTTTTTATGCCACAATCGCACCCCCCCCCCCCCCTGACTGAAAACCGAAATTTTTGTGGCGATTGAACCCCCGGGGGGTTCACTGTATAGAAACCTTGACGGGGATCCTCGGCGCACATGGGGTACCTTTTTTGACATTTGGTATGGCAATGGACCCAAATTTTAGGATGTGGTATGAGAATGCCCCCTCATTATGACTTTTGAGGGATGAATGGTCAGATTTTTCAACTTTCTGGTATGAGAATGGTCATGGAAAATATGTTATCTCACAATTATGGTATGGAATTGGTCTAGTAGTTACACATATCCTCAAAGATTGCCTTCTTCTTGGGACCTTCTTCAGTTTAAATAAATAGCTTTTTTCCCAAGAAATATTCTACTTTGGACCAGTCATGGCATTGGAATGGCATTGGTCCTATATTTTGACATTTGGTATGGCATTGGTTTCATATTTGGGAATTTGGTATGGCTTTTGGGCACTATTTCGGTTGGTATGGGAACACATCCAAAGGAGGAGGGAAATTAGTGCATCAGATTTTGGACAGTCATATGTTTGATTTTGGCCATTTCCTGGGCATTTAAACAAGTGCATATGTTAGGCCAATGGGACTCGATATGGCTTGGTGGGACTTGATGGGGCGAGTGGGATTCTGCACCATTGGAATATGTTGGCCAGGCGACCAAACTCGCGTAATGTCACATATCATATAAGTAATGTCACCAAACCCAGTGCAACGGAATTGATCACTTGGAGAGAATGTAAAGCACTATTATTTCCTTTGGCTTCAGGTTTCTACAACTAAACAATTTATGACACATATAATACAAAGCATATACAACCCCTCCATAAGGTTGCTGGTAACTGCAAGTTTTCATACGATAACATATCAACGTCTGTCATTGTTTGAACCTCGATTTTGTTCCTTATTGCTTCATTTCAAAAGCTTGATGTCTTGTTTAAAATTGCCAGACAGCATGACAAGCTTTGATAAGTGAAATACTGTTGGATAAGGCCCAAACTTTCAGGAATTCTTCATACATGCCTTACTGGTGTATTAACAATGTTTCATTATAATTGCAACAACCTCAAATGAGATATTAAATAGTTTCAAGCATATGGTCAAACTCTGACTCGAAAATGATAAAATTTGCTGACTCAGCACTTTTGAGCCTGCTTTGTAAGGGTTCACAAACTTTTTTAACATGCCTTGGGGTCCCCAACAGGAATCTAAAGTCAAATTGAATCTAGGTGTTTTGGACACAAATCGCCTTGGCCGTAGTACTAAAACTTCATATTGTAATAATTTTACTCACGGTGACCATCGGTGTTGCTACATGAACCTTAGATGAAACGATTGATAGACAATTATCATGAACGTTCATGAGCTCTTCCTCTTTAAACATAATTTCAGAAATGAGCATATACGGGAATTCAAATAACCGCCAAATCCCTCCTCCATTATCTCATATTTAATTAAACTCTTTGAAGCATATCATAAACTAAATACTCACGAGGTGGTGGAGATCGACGTCGACCACATCCTGAAATACAAGTCTAAATACAATATCCATCTATCCATCTTATAAAGCTTGGACTTTAACTGCCTGCAGATCAAAAATTCATTGTGTGGTATCACAGACTGCAGTCCCTGCCCTAAACATAATAATTGCCATAGGTGGCCAAGGGGTCAGATTAATGATTTATCATCAGCTACTGAAATAATTCTTACCTTATTGAAATATAACTAGAAAGAATATAAATAAGGAGACCATTGAATAAAGTTAGGAACACCAAAACAGAAATGATGACGAGACGTAAAATGCACGTTTATTTTTTATTTTTTATTCTCTGATTTGATCCTGGGGCTGACAATTTATTTTTCATATTTGCTTATAGATTTTCTTTGATGTTTTTAAAATACATATCAGATACATATCACCATTGAATAATGAGACACTGAAGAGGAGGAATATGACAGGTCGGTGAGGATTGGAAACAGTCAAAGTGATATGTCCTTTTGACTTTGAAACACACTTATAGAAAGAGTTTCTATTCGAAGAAGTTAATATTTCACAATACTTTTCAGTGGTTTTAAATACTACTAGATATATAAGCTTACAAAGGTTTAATTTGTAATCTTTCGACATCAACAATACCGTTTACAAACGATCTGGGAGTAACTTGCATAGAACGGGTAAATTTTTGAATGTGTCATGTCCATATTATGTCGTTTGTCTGAATGTCCAGCAGGTCTGTCTTTTTTATTGATTACATGGTTAACGCCCCCTTTAAATTCTTATGCATTTGGATATTGCAGACTGGATATTTCCATATCTTCAGCAATTTCTATATTTGATCGTATACAGGGTGGGCCAATAAAAACTGGAACATTTTTCTATTAATTCTATTCTCTTTATTTTTGCAGTTCAATCCACAAAAATTCAGATACTGGTAAAATGAATATTTGTGAAAATGTTAAAGATAAAAATATGTATGTATGATTAAATTTGGCTTGTCATGGTCATGATCTATACTGTGTGCGTCGTGAAAAATTTCCTAATTTTCTCTGCTTGAGACATATTGCTGAAAATACAGTATCTCATACCATACAATATATGCCCTTCAAATGGTCTCAACACAATTTCCATCAATTAAAACATATGTAATTATCTCCAAGAGAACCTAGACATGTCTCCCTTGGATAATATGACTTAACTGACTTCAGCTTTTTTCAAAACAGGCACAATATGTCTCAAAACATATCATTAAAGCCAAGCATGACTGTCAAATACAGCTCAGACTGATTGTTAAGGTAGGTGTAGGACATGTTCAGTAATTAAATGTTGAGCTTGTATATTCATATTTACAGAATGACAATGAATTGTTCTTCAATTTTCTAAAATATTGAAGATAATACATGACTAACAAAAAAGTTACAATTGATGGAAAAATGTTCCAATTTTTTGACTCAACACAAGGGTTTCCTGAACTTGTCTGCCACCTACCTGAACAATCAGTCTGAGCTGTATCTAACGGTCAGTCATGGCTAAAATGACAGGTTTTGAGACATATTGTCACTTATTGTGCCAGTTTTGAAAAAGAATTGAGGTCACTTAAGCTATATTATTCAAGGTAGACATGTCTTGCTTTTCCTAGAGATAACTACATATAGTTTTGATTGATGGAAATTGTGTTAAGACCATTTGAAGGGTACATATTGTATGGTATGAAAGATACTGTATTTTCAGCAGTGATGTCTCAAGCAGAGAAAATTTTGACATTTTTCATGACGCACGCAGTATACAGATCATGACCATGACAAGCCAAAATTCATACATATACATACTTTAATCTTTAACATTTTCACAAAATAATCATTTTAACAGTATCTGAATTTTTGTGGATACTTGTGAATAAAAATATATATTATAATATTATTTACACCCAACACGAATACGTTTTGTTCAATGCACAACAAGCAGTTCTAGGGAGTATCACAAATAGAAAAATGTTCCAGTTTTTATTCGCCCACCCTGTATATGCCAGTAGTTAACGCCCCTTTTAAATTCTTATGCATTTGGATATTGCAGGCTGGGTATTTCCATATCTTCAGCAACTTCAATATTTGATCGGATATACGCATGTAGTTAACGCACCTTTTAAATTCTTATGCATCTTCATCGACTTCTATATTCGGTCGGATATCTCGATCCTTTTTTCAGATAATAGAATTATGATCGTAAGATTGATTCCCACATTCACGCAATAAGAAACCCATTTTTGGGAATTCAAGGCGATATGAGAGATACAAGGCGTTTATTCTTAAGTGGTTTAATTTTGCAGTCTAAAAACATTATGCTTTGTCAAGCTCTTTATAGTTCAACGAAAACTATGACATCTGCCTGACATGTATTTATATTAGTTCATAATTTATTTAAATTAATTAAAATTAATTCAAAAGTCTTACCCATAATACTTGATGCTAACATCGATACAATCAGGAAAACTGTTTTCAGCAACATCGTATATCGTGTAATAATGGTCGACCAAATAATGCCTAAAATATACACATCCGTTTATGTTGCTCCCAACAAAAAGATGAGAATATGTTTTACCCGTGTACATATAACAGTAGTTTGGTTTCTTTATTTCATTTTCAAAAGGCAATGTTGTATTTATATATTGCTAAAAATTGAGTAAAGAACTTCCTCCATGATGACATAAATGACACAATTTGTCGCAAAGTTCAAATGCATCATTTAAACGTGACAACATTAAGGATTCGACCTCCTTTTACGAAGGATCAAGTGACCAGTTTGCAATTTTAATGTAAAAGATTGTTTTTTCCTTTTAAATCCGTGATTTCGCACTTTATTAGGAGTAATCCTAGCACACTGAAGGAGCATTTCACTAAAAGGTAACGTTACAAATACAATAAACTAACTCTACATCTAAAACTATACACTTGAAATTACAACCTAAAATATATGCCGAAGGTGTGACACATGATTCTTTTAAAAGGATTGGTCAAAAGCTGTCAGTCGTTTGGTCATGATCATTATCTAGTAATACTGTACTACTGTTTTAATTCGGTATCTTGGTCGCTGAAATAGTTAACATAATACTTACATGTAGTTCAATACTTCTTCCAGAGTTAAGACGAGATTTAAAAGGTCTAGAAGGTTACCTCTTAAAATCCATATATTATTGAAAAATTACTAATTTGAGCAGAACTTCTTATAATAAATCCCATAATTAGACTTTTAAGACTTTTGGACTGAAATTAGACTTTGGACTGTCTAGCAGACTGCAGTAATGCTACAATATTCAAATTGCTGGAGTTTTTCCATTTCCCAAAAATATAGTCAACCCCGCGTCATTCTTTTGTCCCTTGTTTGCTCATAATCGGCTACAACTGTAAATTTTTAAAATACAACATTGGGGTAGCTGTTTATACGCACTGTTGGGTGTAAATATAGCATTAACATTAGTACTAACATATAAAACAATTATTTATTTCTTGTAAACATTGAAAATAAACCATTTTCTTCGAAATGAGAGACGGGTCAGTAAATCGACCTCTGGTAAAAAAAAGTAATTATAAAAGTTCGAGATACGTGATATACTTTTTTTAGGAAACTACACAATATTACATCTATGTGGTTTTATTATAATATGTTAATCAGATTAAATGTATTAATTTGAAATTATATATCTTTTACAAGTAACTTTTCATCAACGTTTATTCTTTGAGTATATATGTATATTGATATTTTCTGTCATTTACTTCGCTTCTTATAGATTTCTTATATTGAGAGCATAACTATTATCAGTTATTATTGTTTTATCCATACATTACATTATATACTATACTATATTATATAGTATATACATAAGTATTATCTATAAATTGACGACCGGATGTTATTCATTTATCTTGGATATACATGTAGTTATGGATGATGAAAATGTCTATTAAATAATAATTAACACTGGAAGCGATGCCAAGAAGACAATCTTTGAGTTAATAAAATATAAAGCAAGTACAATTGTTCAATCTTGGATAAATATTCATAATCTGTCCATTATTTCTGCTCCTCTATTCTCTGTTACCATAGACTCCCTCTTGGCGCCTACTTTGTGACCCATGATCTCCCAATCCCTGGATGTCGTTATACGCCATGGGTAGCCGACTCATGGGCATTCTCCTAGTCGTATCCCTGTTGAAATATTTGATAAATTTTCTTTCCAATCGCGAGCGCTTTCTTTTTAGGTAGATCAGACTGGAGCAAACGATAATGCAGACAACCGTTACTGCCGCCAGACTAACGACAGCTAATATGATGTATACACCAGAGTCAGTTTCGCCTAGAATAAAAAAGATATGATGGAACTATTTTACGCAACTATAAAACCTTTTGTACCGAAAGTACAGTTTGGACCATAAACAAATGAGAAATCGATTTTCTATCACCATTTCCAAACCATGGTACATGTAGTTTTAAAGCCCATAGTTTCCAATATTGACTAGATACATTTTCATATATTCCCTAAAATTTGTATATTTTACATTTTGTAATCTACTGATGTGGCCTCTCGAAAAGTGTCTAATTTCTAACATGGGTAATTCTCACTTCAAAAAATCCATAACTTAGGCTATTTATTTATGGTCCAAACTGTATTTATTTATGGTCCAAACTGTATTTCTGGTCCAAAGAGCTAACCCCATTTAAACCCACAAAATATCAACATTAAATTGTGGGCTACCCTTATCAAGCTTTATATCATAATGTAACTTACTATATGAACATTTTCTCCCTGTGAATGTAGGATCAGGACTGACATCTATCGTACCAACAGGACAAACACATTCAAATGATCCAATCGTATTTATACACCTGGCCGCCTCATCACATCTCATTGCTAGATCCTCTTGATCGGCACACTCGTTGTAATCTGAGATGGAAACGTTAGTAGTGCATGACATGTTAGGGATAAACAATGAGTCGTGGGTATTAGGAAAAATAATGGCCAAAGGACGAAGCCAGAGGCCATTATCTTCTCCTAAAATGGGTACAGTCTCTTATGAAAGTTAAATGGCCAATGATCCAATTTTAGGAAAAATCCATTTCAACGTTTTGTTTTGGCTGAGGTGAGCTTATTGAGAAATTAGTGGGTGTAATTAGTTCAGCTAAAGTATATTGAATTTAACATGACATGTACAGTTTAAAGTGTGATTTCATTTGTGTTTACTATTCAACTATTGAAAGAGTGAATCGGGTATAATTAGTTCAGCTTTAGTGCACTCAGCACCGAATGAAAAACATGTCAAATCCCGGGGATTTTGGCGACTATTTTCAATTCACCAAAATTTGCAATTTTAAAACACTCGCCAAATTTAAAACAAATCCAGTTGTAGAACATGTTGAAAAGACCTTTCATACACAAATATGGATACATAGCACTTGCACCGGTAATAGAATCTGGTGTATATGGAAGGTTCTCTTTGCCTCCACTCGCCCTTCTCGCATCAAATGCATGAACGATGTCCTTTAGCGTAACGTTGTAGTCAGCCATTGACTCATTTATTGGAGCAGCAGTAACAGTAAGGTTTGCTATTATAGATCCAGGTGATAGATTAGTCAAGTTCAAACCAATTGTCATTGTTATCATAGGAGTAAAACCCCGTTCTGCCTGAAATAGAAAAATACTAGCATGCAATAGATTTTAAAGAATACCCCTTGGCTTATAGGGTGATCCGGTTGGCAAATTGTACCAGGTCTGGAATAGTTGGAAGGCGCTGAATACAATTATTCGTCTAAGTCTAAAAGTTTGTATGTATTTAAATGTTAGGGAAGCAGAGTCTGACGGTCATCAAATCAACTCATTCCTTCGACTCAACAAAGGCATGTATTTCAAAAGATCATTCCAATTTTGTAAAAAATGATCGGCTGCTAATTCAGATGATATCATAACGATGAACTTACTGAACAAAGTATGTCAGACTCCATCTGAATGTACATTTGCGATGGTTTCACCAGTCTGTCGTCCCAGCGAAGAGAGAATGTAATCTCAATTTGAAATGTTTTTCCAACTATAAAAGTTTGAGTATACATGTATATAGTTTTAGATCTCAAAGAGAATTTAGCAATTTGAATTTCTTTAATAAGTATGTTTTTCAATACCATTGACAAAATTCACGACTGAAATATTCCATTGTCATGCGATTTTGGATTTTGTTAATGATATTGGAATGGTGATGATGCCAGCATTTTTCCTCTATGAGTGACATCAGAGCTTTGTATATTCGGGCTTTGTTTTTTATTACTGGTTGTGTTCTCAGATATTTCTTTATGTTAGGTTCGCATCGGGTCCATGGCAGAAAAAAATTAAAAGGGGAGCAGTGCCCATGAGAGTCTTAATATGTCATGTTCACGTACACGTTTTCTGATAAACGTGTAGCTAAACCTCCCCACAATCACATATAATAATTTCAAGATGACAATGAAATTACAAATAAATACAATTACTTACCAACGCATTCGCCATTCATATTTTGCACCATTCCTTTGCTACATTTGTTATAACACGCTGTAACGTTGTTTCTTTTGTTCGATATGCTGCTCTCTGTTGACGTGGTATCCGCTGGACCGGTGGACAACCGCATTGTTTCGTTTGTGACAACCGCCTTTGTTGTAGCAGCGTCCTCGAGTATACCCTCATGTTTAATTGTTGTCATAACATCAGTTCTGGCGTTTATAGCATGTGTTATAACATTAGGCATAGTTATTGTTGCATCTTCAGTTGTTGTAGCATCAGGCTGAGATGTTGTTGCATCAGGCCGAGCTGTTTTTGCATCCTCAGTTGTAGCATCAGACTTAGTTGTTGTATCCTCAGTTGTAGTATCAGGCTTAGCTGTTGTTGCATCCTTAGCTGTAGCAGCAGAATTACTTGTTTCCTCCTCAGTTGTAGCATCAAGCTTAATTGTTGTTGCATCCTCAGTTGTAGCGTCAGTATTGATTGCCAAAGTAGACTCTGTTGTGTAGTCAGGATCAATTGCAACTTCTATTGTATTGTCAGACACAATTTTTAAACCAGACTCTGTTATAATATGAGGCTCAGTTGTGAGATTTTCGTCTATAGCATCACTATGCTCAATCGTTTTAACAGCCCCTATTTCAAACCCAGACTCAGTTGATACAGCACTCGTTGTGGTTGTAGAATCTTTTGTCTCAACGTCTAACTGAGTGGTAATAGCAGACCTTGTTTTGATGTCAGCATTAGCTGTTGCCTCTGTGGTTATGTCAAGCACTGTTGTTAGTTTAGGGTTATCAATGCATTCCATAGTCAAGGACTTTTTACGAATTTTTAGAGGGTCTGGTGTGAACTCATAAATATAACCAACAAACAGATTGGTGAATATAAAACTCCATATTGGAATGGACTCCTGCACGAAACTGAATCCAAGGAAATATTTTGGATCGTCAATTTTCCGGTAGTATGGTCGAGAATGCGTTTCTCCACTCTTATCGTAAATACCGACGAATTCCTCATCTTGGCAATTTTGACTAGTACTACTAACATTTAGAGCATCGCATGTATTTTCAACTGGAAAGTGAAAAACAATATTTTAATATAATATGGGCAAAAAAGGTTATTTTCTACCGGGGTTGCAGAATTTACGCAGCAATAACTTGATTTATGGCATGGATCTCAAAATCATTCTGCTTGAGATGTAATAATTATGCAATTGTTAATAAAAATAACATAAACATGATCAGCTAGGGGTATTTTGCCCTTGGAATGTGAATGCAACCCTACAGTAACAGGATCGGATAATAGTTGACAAGAAAACTTTCGGAGATTGATATCAATACATTCCAAGCGTTCCAAGTTTAAATAGAGAATTATGTTAAACGGGAATTGATTGTTCATTTTGTAACAAAGTTATACGAGGGTTGTTCATGTGGAAACCGAATGAAACGTCATGTGAAGGTTTTTCATGTTCAGAAATACAAAGTAGTTCAATTGATACTTTAAGCCAAATTTTAAACAGAAATGTTCAAAACATATGCAAAATGTTGTTATTGAGGTTGAGGTGGCTTGCAACATCTTAAGTAACACGTAATAGGAGAGACACTGCAAAACAATCAAATGACCATTTAAAACATATTCGTTTGCGCTCTAGATTATCAATTAGAGACCAATTTTTACCTGAAAAACAAGCGAATGTGTCTATAGTCCATGTATGCTTCCCACTGCTGTCAAGCATAGCGATCGGGGCTGTAATGTCTTCTGGGTATATACTTGAATCATTACTTATGGCCAAAGGGGCAATTGAAGAATTCAAATCTGTACTTTTAGGAGACCCTATCTGCATAACCCACGACAAAGGTTGAACTCTAAATAAGTACAGATCATTATCAAGCCTCTCATGGCGGTACACAACTCGATTGTTGAATTTTTGAGTCGTATCCAATGTCCAAATCCCAAATATGTAAGTGTCCGATGGAGTAACACCTCCCGGCGTCCAATCTTGTGAGTCTAAGTATATAGTTTTACACGGGGTTTTCTCTGGAACGACATAACAATATCGTGTCATTTAGCATGATGACAACAATTATTACTCTAGTGACGAATTTCAAAATTACTACTCTAGTGACACATTTACAAATTTTTACTCTAGTGACACATTGCCAAATTTTTACTCTAGTGACACATTTACAAATTTCTACTGTAGTGACACGTTTCCAAATGACTACCCTAGTGACACATTTCTAAATGACTACTGTAGTGTAAATTTCATAATTACTACTCTAGTGACACATTTCCAAATGACTACCCTAGTGACACATTTCCAAATGACTACTCAAGTGACACATTTCTAAATGACTAGTCAAGTGAAACATTTCCAAATTACTTCTTTAGTGACAAATTTCCAAATTACTACTCAAGTTACACATTTCTATATGACTACTCTAGTGACACATTTTCAAATTACTTCTTTAAAGACAAATTACCAAATGACTACTCTAGTGACATATTTCCAAATGACTACCTCAGTGACACATTTCCAAATTTCTACTCTAGTGACACATTTCCAAATGACTACTCTAGTGGAAATTTCCAAATTACTACTCTTGTGACACATTTCCAAATGACTACCCTAGTGACGCATTTCCAAATGACTACTCTAGTGACACATTTCCAAATGACTACTCTAGTAACACATTTCCAAATAACTTCTCTAGTGACACATTTCTAAATAACTACTGTAGTGTAAATTTCCAAATTACTACTCTTGTGAAACATTTCCAAATGACTACTCTAGTGACAATTTCCAAATGACTACTCAAGTGACAAATTTCCAAATGACTACCCTAGTGACACATTTCCAAATGACTACTCTAGTGACACATTTCCAAATGACAACTCTAGTGACACATTTCCAAATGACTACTCTAGTGACACATTTCCAAATGATTACTCTAGTGACAATTTCCAAATGACTACTCAAGTGACACATTTCCAAATGACTACCCTAGTGACACATTTTCAAATTACTACTTTAGTGACATATTTCCAAATGACTACTCTAGCGACACATATCCAAATGACTACTTAAGTGACACATTTCCAAATTATTTCTTTAGTGATATATTTCCAAAAGATAAATATGGAATAACTATGTTAATTATTTGCATCGTACTAAGCTTATATATTGAATATCATGTACATTTTGAAATATTATAGAGTGGTGGAATAAAACATATTGATTAGTTAATTCTAAATGTTAATTTTAAACAGTGAAAATGGTCCCCAAAACATGGATAGGATTGCCCAAATTGTGCGAAAACTCAAATATAGTGAAATAAATCGTCAAACCTTTGAAACAATTAAACTGCAGTGAGGGAATGTCCATCCATTCGTCGTTAAAGAATCCCTTTGATAACGCATCTTTTTGGACAAACTCCGGGAACATAGCATCATCGAAAATCCGAATAAGTACATGTTCCCGCTGTCCAGCTGTTTCACTAATCACCCATTCGTTTGTCATAGCTGTTGTAGTATGGTAGAGTGTTACATTGTATCTGTTTAAAGTTGTTTCCTCTAACATGTAAACTGGACGCCCATCGAAAGTCGTGTTCGAACGTAAGTATAACCCAAATAATGGACGCTGAGGCATGCTACGACTCGTGTCATATGTAATGTGCAGCGTTTCGCATGATGAAAAATCACCGCTTAAGTCCTCCCCTGTTGTGATCTCAGACTCGCTGGTTGTTACCAACTCTGATGAAATCACAGATTCAGTGGTCGTGGCCTTTCCTGTTATAATCTCAGATTTGGTGCTTGTGACCTTCCCTCTTGTAATCTCAGACTCGATTTCAGTTGCCTCTTCTGTTGAAATCACAGATTCAGTGGTTGTGACCCCCGTTGTGACCTCCCCTAATATAATGTCAGATTCAGTAATTGTGACCTCCCCTAATATAATATCAGATTCAGAGGTTGAGACCTTTTCTGTTGTAATCTCAGACTCGCTGGTGGTCACCTCCTCTCGTGTAATCACAGAAGCAGTGGTCGTGACGTCCCTTTTTGTAATCTCAGACTCGCTGGCTGTCGTCTCCTCTCGTGTAATCACAAAGTCAGGGGTCGTGGCGTCCACTTTTGTAATCTCAGACTCGTTGGTTGTCGCCTCCTCTCGTGTAATCACAAAGTCAGGGGTCGTGGCGTCCACTTTTGTAATCTCAGACTCACTGGTTGTCGCCTCCTCTCGTGTAATCACAAAGGCAGGGGTCGTGGCGCCCCTTTTTGTAATCTCAGACTCGTTGGTTGTCGCCTCCTCTCGTGTAATCACAAAGTCAGGGGTCGTGGCGTCCACTTTTGTAATCTCGGACTCACTGGTTGTCGCCTCCTCTAGTGTAATCACAAAGGCAGGGGTCGTGACGTCCCTTTTTGTAATCTCAGACTCGCTGGCTGTCGTCTCCTCTCGTGTAATCACAAAGTCAGGGGTCGTGGCGTCCACTTTTGTAATCTCAGACTCACTGGTTGTCGCCTCCTCTCGTGTAATCACAAAGGCAGGGGTCGTGACGTCCACTTTTGTAATCTCAGACTCACTGGTTGTCGCCTCCTCTCGTGTAATCACAAAGTCAGGGGTCGTGGCGTCCACTTTTGTAATCTCAGACTCACTGGTTGTCGCCTTCTCTCGTGTAATCACAAAGGCAGGGGTCGTGGCGTCCACTTTTGTAATCTCAGACTCGCTGGTTCCCACCTTCTCTGCTAAAATAACAGATGAGATTGAGTGTATTTATAAGAATAGTGGAAAATAGTGAATATTACTTTTAGTATATATTGTCTGAGCTTTCTAATGAGCAGTATTATACACAATTTGAGAACGACAATGAACCCTTGCGTTTGGCTTTAACTTCATTGAACTATTGGATATTTTGGGGTTCAATTTTCATTCTGAGCTCAGTTTAATGAAAAAATAAGGGGATCTATATTATAATAATGCACATATTTGCACAGTACAGGTTATCTGAAAGTAGAAATTCATCATAGGATATTGGAAAAAGGATTTGACTTTCTAGTGGTCACAACACAGGATACGATTATGGAGATATTTCCGATTTGAAATGAAGAGTGGTGTGATTAAGCAATGGTTATGAATTTTCGTATCAATAAAACTTCACAAAGAATTTAATAAAAAAAAACTAAGGGTAGAGGTACATATGGCATGGACCATGCAATACTTTAATAGCAAGTGAGGTAGTAACAGTTTATAGAATCAATGGAGGAGAGGAGGAGAGGAGACAGTGTTCTATTCATATAATTAGGCCGGACGTTAGGTGTTTATAAATTGAAGCGCAATCGAATGTTATCATTACATTTTCGGTGTTAAATAAGCGTCTTTGCGACATCTATATGAACGAACATTCGAAGATTATTGGCCAACGGCGAACGGATACAAATAATCACAAACACACACTGAATATGTACACACACAATGCAGAAGGGTAAGAACAAATAACCTTACAGAACATAACGAGAAAACATCTTACACCAGTCCCAAGGAAAACAAATTCCAACAGGATGTATTGATACGTAAGTCATTACAATACATGTTGAAGAATAAATTTAACCTGATAACCAATATGCGTAACATCAAAAATAGTTGTATAGGATACTGGTATTCAAACAAGATAAAGCACTGGCGGATCTGGGGGGGGGGCCCAGGGGCCCGGGCCCCCCCCCCCCCTTGGGTGGGCCCAGAAAAAAAAATTTGTGCCCAAAAAAAATTTTGAGTCAAAAAAGGCCTAAAGGCCCTAAAAAGTAGGCCTTTTTGGTCATAAATGGGCCTTCTAAGGCCTTATTTTTTAATTTTAGGCCAAATTTTGAAGAAAATGGGCCTCAAAATTTCAAAATATGGGCCCACTTTTGGGTTTTAGGGGCCCAAAATTTTTGTTTATCAGACCAAAAGTTTGGGCCCCCCCCCCTTGTTGGTTCCCAGATCCGCCCATGTAAAGCATTCATTCTCAAATGATATGGGACAGACTAAATCCAGTCTCGAAGTCGATAAGCATGTCAAAGGGTCAACATCCATTCATAATTACCTACTTAGAATTATTGCGTATTTCTCCCTTGTAACCCCGGCCTCATTGGTTGTTTCTGTTGCAGACCCTGACACAGTGGCTGTAATCCAAGCCTAGTCTAAATGAAGATGTACACCTTATGTATCATCATCTTGGTGATGGTTGTAACCTACCTTATTGTTGTGATCTACGGCTTTCGACCTTTATAAAACCCAAAAAATAAAAACTGGGGTATGCTCACGTCACATAACGGGTGCACCTGGTGTAACTTCGGCCTCATTGGTTGTGTCCCTTGCTGTAATCTACGACTCATTAACTGTGATCGTCACTGTGTATACTATACCCAGCCTTGTTGGTTATGGCCTCCTCTGTTGAAAACTCAGTCTTGATGGATGTGGCCACCCCTGTTGAAAACTCAGCCTTGGTGGCTGTGTCCATCCCTATTGAAAACAAGTCTTGGTGGTTTGACCTCTGTTGCTGAAAACCCAGTCCTAGTGGTTGTGACCTCCCTTGTTGAAAACCCAGTCCTGGTGCTTGTGACCATCACTATTGAAAATAAGTTGTGGTGGTTGTGACCTCTGCTGCTGAAAACTCGATCTTGGAGGTTGTGACCTCCTCTGTTGAAAACACACATCTGGAGGTTGTGATATCCCCTGTTGAAAACTCAGTCTTGGTGGCTGTGACCTCCGATGCTGAAAACCTAGTCTTAGTGGTTGTCACCTCACCTGTACACTCAGCTTTGGTGATTGTCACCCCCCCCCCACTATTGAAAACTCAGCCTTGTTGGCTGTGACCTCCTCTGTTGAAAACACAGCTCTGGAGGTTGTGACCTCTCCTGTTGAAAACTTAGTCTTGGTGGCTGTGACTTTCGATGCTGAAAACCCAGTCTTAGTGGTTGGCATCCCCCTGTACACTCAGCCTTGGTGGTTGTGACCTCCCCTATTGGAAACTCAGCCTTGGAAGTTGTGACCTCCATTGTTGAAAATTCAATATTGGTCGTTGTGACCTCACCTGTTGAATACCCAATCTTGGTAGTTTTGACCACCTGTTTAAAACTCAGCCTTGGTGGATGTGACCTCCCCTATTGAAAACCCAGTCAAGGTGGTTGTAACTTCCGCTGCTGAAATCTCAGTCTTGGTGGTTTGACCTCTCCCCTGTTGGAAACTCAGCTCTGGAGGTTGTGATCTCCCTGTTGAGAACTCAGCCTTGGTGGTTGAGTCTCTCTCTATTAACAACTAGGTCTTGGTGGTTTTGACATCCCCTGTTGAAAACGCAGTATTGGTGGTTACGACCTCCATTGATGGAAACTCATCTCTCCCCTGTTGATAACCCAGCCTTGGTGGTAGTGACCTCCCTTGTTGGTGGTATCCACGTTGTAAACCTCATGTGCAGTGGTCGTGACTCTTCCGTTCTATCATATATGCTGTGGTTGTGACCTCTCTGCTATAAAACGCGAGTAAATAAATTAAATTCTTAAATTCAACTACATGTAATACGATTTATAACAGTGGTTACCTCCTCAGTCGAACCATTGGCGTCAATGGTTGTGACCTACTCTGTTTTGACCTCAAACTTGGTCATTGTCACCTCCCATGTTGTAACCTCAAACGCAGGGCTTCTGATCACCCAAATTGTGAATCTCAAACGCAGTGCACGTGGTCGTAAGTTGCAGTGGTTGCAACCTCCCCTACTATAAAAGTGCATGTAAAAATAAATTATATTCAATTACATGTACGGAGTATAACAGCGGTTACCTCTTCAATGGTCGTGGCGTACTTTGTTTTGACCTCAACCTTGGTCACTGTGACCTCACCTGTTGTAAACGCAAGCGCAGGGCTTTTGACCTCCCATGTTGTAAACTTCAAGCGCGGTGGTCGTGACTTTTCCGTTCTTCTATCTGCAGTGCGACCTCCCTTACTTTAAAAAGGCTTGTAAAAATGAATTTGAATGTTTAATTAAATAACTGTTATATTCAATTACATGCATTACGCTGTACATATCACAGTGGTTAGTACCTCCTCAGATGAACCATTGGCTTCAATGGGGCGAACTCTGGTTTGACCTCAAGCTTGGTCATTTTGAGCTCACATGTTGAACCCTTGAGCGTAGCGTGGGCGTAGAGCAGGGCTTCTGGCAACCCCAAGCGTAGTGATCGTGACTTTTCCGTTCTCCCCTATGTGCAGTAGTTCTGACCTCCCTTTCTATAATAACGCATGTAAAGAGAAGATATTAGGCGTAATCAATATGGTGAATTGAATTCAGCAATGTTTTTCTCAATTATTGAAAACATTCTGTAAAAAAAACACGGTCGTTTATGTAATGTTGACTGATTGACATTAATTTAATGCGAAAATTATTAATATATTTTTTATATATATAACTGTTTTTGTTAACATTTTTTGTTTTTAGTGCAATTGTTTTTAGTTCCTTTCTACCAATTCTTGAGAATGAAATAAAATGTCTTTTTGAACCTTGTTGGAATAAAATAGCATATATAACATTTTGTTAGACCTCTCAATATCATAGTTATACAAAGGACATTTTGGTTTATTTGACAAAAAGTATTCAACAAATTAAAACAACCCCCCCCCCAAAGAAATAGATAAAAAGTAAGATGAGCCTTTTATTTCATTAACAATATACTTTTTAAAATCAACCAATATTTCCTTTGTACAATTACAATATTGAGAGACCTAAACAAGTTGTGTTTATATCGTTTTGGTCCAATGAGGTTCGGAAAGATGTTTCATTTCATTCCGAACATATGATACCAAGAACACTGATGTGTTTTATAAAACAATATAGAGAAAAGTATATACATTTTTTTCAAATTATATTGTTAGCATTCCAAAGACGACCATTAAGTTGACGATGTGTAAAGTTTTTAGAATTGTTTTATGACTGGTTAAAGAGAACGTGTGTTCAAAACGTTCACCATATCAACCCTTGAATTATTTCACCCAGATGCAGTCTGTTACGTTAACGTTACGGTGTATGTAAATAATAGAGAGGTTTCGCAAAACGAATTAGCTAAAACGTATCCGCATCCGTATCTCGTTACGTTTACGGATACGTATTTCGATAATTTTCGTTTCGCAGTTCGTTTTTTGAAGTACGTAATAATAAACGCATCTCAATCCGTGTTTAATAGTAGTGAAAACTAGGGTCAAATAAAAGGCTTCATCTGCACTAAGATTTCAAAACACCATTGGGAGTGTCAGCTTTCAGAATCACAACTCCAAAAGTATTTTTGGTGAATGCAAAAATACACATTAACCCTTTCATCCCTAAGGTGTCATTTATTAATTTCATGACATCAATTTCAAAATGAAGAATATCCTTTTGGCCATAAAAGATTATTTCTCGGTTTACAAATAACTAATTCAGTGTCAAATTATACCTTTGGGAATATTTAAGGGTTTGAAAACAGATTGAATAGTGGTCATTAAGTGACGTGCAGTGACTGCATTATGCCACGAAATGCGTAAACATTTCTAAAATCACTTGCCATACTGCACATGGACCTTTAATTTCATGTTTTTTCAGCTGTATATTTTGGTAATAATTCAAGATCAAATAAATAAAAAAAATAGCGACTTGGGCAAGGCCAAGGCATTCGGAAACCATACGTTTTCACATAAGCCACCCCCCCCCCTTTCCTCATTCATAGGCTTTAGTTGAAAACCCATGCCTCATATAAACTAAGGAGGGGAACAAAGTAACATATTTGATCATAGAAAGCGACACAAATATATCAGTTATGCAACTAAAGTATGTTTTGTATGAGAAATCAACAAAAAATATATTATGTAAAAAGATAAATAAGCATTGTTTTTCTTGAATTCATTGAACAATAGGGGACCAGCTCATCAGAGAACGACGCAAAGCTAACGCCTACCATGCCAGTTGAATATCTCACCATCATAATACCCTATCCCCTTTGGGGTCAACATAGAATCAACTGATAAACCAACAACATAATACCCTAAACCGGCCATTTGTTTCTTATCCCAATAAACACCACAGCCTGATCGGACACAGCCCATAACTCGAAATATATAACCTATTATAACCAAACACAACCTAGATCACCAATCATGCAACAGTAGAATAGAACATAACCCAGTGTCAAAATACTCAGAACGCAATATAATGATATAGCATAACCCAGCACCAAAGCCAGCATGGCGCAACCTGACTTACAACCACCAAAATACAACCAACTGTCAGATTAACACAATATGCCACAACCCAATAATAAGACAACAAAGTCAAACACAACCAATTGTTGAATTAACTCAACACAATTGTGCACAATCCAACACTAAACAATAAAAACACAATCAGGCACAACCAATAAAACACAGCTAAACTAACAACCATGAAAACACATCGAACTGTTAAATTATCACCACACAATTTGGCACAACCCAATGTTAAACCAACAAAAGCAAACACAGCCCATTGTTCAAGTAACACAACACAATTTTTCAAAACCCAAAACCAAACAATCAAAACAAGATCAGGCACAGGCAAAAAAACACATTAAAATTGTAATACCGAGATACACAACTAACTAACTTAACCCAATTGGAGACAACGCCAATCACACAACACAATCAGAAAAAAAGATACCTCACCCGACTAGCCACAACCAGCTAGCCAACCTACAGATCATATTCACAAGAGAAAACAACCCATTATAAGATTAACATAACACAATGGGACACAACCCGATACTAAATCACCAGACTAACAACCATCAAAAGAGAACCTAGTCTCAAACGTACACAACACATTTCGGCAATACCAATACCTACTTGACACTAACCCACCATTACACAACCAGGCTTAGTCAAATACTCAATCGATTTACTCAACCCATCAAAACACAATCAGGCACAACCAATAAACCACAACGAAACGTTGATACCGATTTACTCAACTAAGTTATTCCAACTGGAGACAATCCCACAAAACAATCGGGGACAACCCGGTATCTACTGAATATGTACTTGAATTACAACCCCCCCCCCCTTCCCTATCATCACAAGGCTGCTAATGAAGAACACATCATGGACCACTACCCAAGAGTTAGGAACATCTGGGGCCCCTACCGTGACTCATATGTAAGAGAGAAGATCCGTTACAGGATCTGGATGTCAGGCCTGTCTTTACAAAAATGAAAATAGGAAATGATACGCCAATATCATCATCCTAGGATCAAAGAAATATACTCTCACCCCCAAAATGCAATCTGATTTTCGACGCCGTTTCGGTGCCAAATTTCGGTGCCGTTTCGGCACCAAATGGACTGACTAGTCCGGTAGCAAATTTTGGTGTCGAAAGGTTTCGGTGCCGGAACGGTGCCGAATTTTTTCGATGCACTTCTTGGGAGTTTTAAGCCAAAAAAGCCCCCCCCCCCCTGCCACAAGCTGGATACGGGCAAGAGTGATGCGGGGCACCATCTTTAGACCCAATATCACATTCATTGTCGAGGTCAGGAAAAAGCTACTATACTCAAACTAAGCCCAAGACCCTGCTCTTTATGAATTCGGAGCGTGACTTAAGGCACAAAATATAAATTCAGGTGCCTAGCTGATAACCATTGGTTTGATGTCCCTAAGAAATTGACTACTGTATTACTATTGACCCCAGAAACGATAGACCTTACATCTGCCTATTAGCAAATGTGACTAAAGCTTTATTTGTAAAAATTGCAGGCCCATCGCTTATAATCAAATTTATCGGCAGATAAGGCAATTACTTCATCAAAATTAGCACGACACACATGATAACATATGTGTGTTACTAAAATTATACATTTATGGAAAAATTTATCAAGATTTGAAGGACAAAATAGATACGGAGACAACTACGCACAGAAAGTGTTAGTTTACGTACTTTCGGTATTGCTGTTGGTATCACAAACGTATTGAGTACACTTTTACTCCATCGATGCGTTACGGATTTTGATACGGGTAGCTAAAACGTTGTGCGAAACATGTACACTGTAATTATTGCAATACCATTCCATACAATGTAAAATGAATTGAACATACCATTTGAAAAACTCGATTTATTTCAAACAATAAACAAATTCATTCACCAAATTTTAGTCAAATTATACACAGCACACTGTGCTTGTTCATATAGTGATATCTTTAGAACTAAAAACAATATAATCGAAGGGTAAAATCGGATACGTAAATGACCAACGTACAAAAGCCTCATTTTTCGTGTTTTCCGTATCATTTCACGTATAAATTGAACTGACTACGCATAAATCTGATAAATACGTTACGGATACGGATCCGTGGAGCTAAAAAACGTTTTGCGAAACCTCTCTATCGACCTTATTCAACCTTTTCTGACGTATTGAAATATGAAGAATGGTTGAATTGTTTTGTCATTAGATGTTTTCAAAACAAATTATCGCAATTTATCATTTCATTTTATTTAAGTAAGGTAACTTAATATCTCTTTTTATGATGTGTTCTTAAATTTATTATAAGACTTTATTCAACAATGATATTCAAATGATATAAACCACTGACTCAATTGTAGACAGTTGAATTGTTTGGTGTGGAATATCGCTTTATTTGGTAAGTTCTCACACCCGATATAGGATATTATCCTACACTTAGTGTATTAAAAGTATAATGACATCAAAAAATAAATTTGATATTTTTTTTTGCAAAATGAATAACCGAAATATATCGATGATATCCTATAATTGTGAGGTTGTATAATGGTTGATTCCCGCATGTCGTGTTTATACGCAAGCGAGTATATGATATATTCACTAGTGACTGAAGGGAACGAGTGAATATATCATATACTCACGAGATCTTTATGATCTTATTATGCCACCCTAATCTTTAATCAATAAAAGGTTAATCAAAATTCAGCAGTTGTATATCAAGTCGAAGAGTTGTATACGCTATCCAAGATGTTGTATTTCGTTCTTAAGAGTTGTATACGATGAGTGTTGGTTTTATATTGCAGTTATACAATGCTATTATACAATCATATAAAGCACTTAGGGTGGGATAAACATATTTATCCTAATTATCGATCGACCCCATATAAAATCTTTAATCTTTAACTTCTTTTAACTTCAAAAAGCGGATTTTGAAGGACTTTTTTGTTCGAAATCTATTTACAACTAAATTCTAGAGTTCATACGTATCTTTTAATAAGCTATAACTCACATCAATGCATAGCATTCATCTTCACCGAAAAAAATCGGAAATTATGTTATTTTGTCACCAGAAACCTTTTTAAATAAAATTCCCGACATGATATTGTTAGCCAATAGATGTGTATTAAATATCATTGTACTCTCACCCTGGTGAAGGAATATGTGGTCTATTTTAGAGCGCTAAAGATGAGTTATAGTGAAAATAAGGAGCTACTTCACAGGCTAATCAATTTAAAAATCTACATTGAAATAATATGATTTTCCTGAAAATCGGTATTATACAAGTGAGTAATGAAATTAAGGGCCAGTCGATCCATTATCGTATGTTCTGATTGATCCGTTTACCAATAGTTTTTTATTACACTTTTGCTGGAATTACACATGGCGTATACCGATCGGTTTTTGTAAGACGCCTTACCCGAGTTTTTACTAGTTTTTAACATTTGTCCTAAACGAAATAAGACCTCATATCCAAATTGAAAAATGGATGATGGTCGCCAGGTCACATCGAAATCAAGTGTTATCTTCAGAGAATATGTACATATTTTTCTTTTATCTTTTTATTATGTTTTCTCATAATTAATAAAAGATAAATAAAATTATGCAATGTCATGCATTTTTAATCAAATTATGGAAGATCAGTTTTGTCTTAGATGCAAAAAGAATACATTTACAGGAGATGTACACATACATGTATGCTGGATATTATCCATAAGTACATCGATAAAAGTGCACGAAAGGCGTTTTAGAAAAAACAGATGTAATTCCAAAATATAATTCCTAGGAAGCTTTAGAAATGTTGGTGTAATCAGAATGGCGATTTTGTAAAGCGCCTTCCACTAAAACGTTTTAGCGGATTTTGTGGTGTAATTCCAGCAACTGTAGAAAAAAGCTTTTTCAAGTTTGGTATGTTTTGCTGTCTAATAAAATAAATTTTATAATAAAATGTAGAAGCTAATTACTTATATTTAAATCAAGCTGAGTAATAACTGGCTAATTAGTATGAGGTTAAAACACAATTTGGAATTATTGTCTATCTCTGTCGATGAGATGCGTGTACATTGTACAATTTTCTTCAATTGAATATTACAAATTACTTACCGATACACGCAGATTATCCTAGATAAACTGTTTCTAGGAAACTCCATGTTTCTATCATAGAATTTACTACCCTTTAGAGAATACCAGTTATACCGGATTCATCCGCCTCAATGACCGAAACGAGGATGTGAAAATCGTGACTCCAAATGTCGAATGTACATATAAATTATTCAAACAATTTTGATGAGTTTTCATGTTCAAACCGGCAAAAGCTTTCGAACCAGAGAGACAGGCAGAAAACGTTTGTGCATAGCCCTGCGGTATGTATTCGTCGATATAACACCTGCTCTTTGGTCTATGTTTCTTAAATAGCAAATAACTCTGGATTACAATCTTGTCATTTTTGTTGTTAAAATATCAATATATATAGCATTGTTGGTTATATATCACGCGACGCTAGCAGGCGGAGAACACAGACGTGCGCAAATTATGCCCTTGAAATTTCAAAATTCAAACTCCTGCAAAATGTATCTATCGGATAATGTATCACTCTTAAAATTGAATTACTTGAGTATTTCCCAAGTATAAAAATTACTTAAAGTTAAATACTTAGTTTTACTTCATTTTACTTAGGTTTTACTTATATTGTCATTTTGAGTTTTTTAATTGCTTAATTATGTAAATGAGTATTACAATTACTACAGTAAGTATTTCAATTTCTCTCCTTGCATTAGTAAATTCACCATAAATTCAGAGTGCCTGTGAAGTCATTTTAATTTTTTTTTAATTAATATATATATC